TAGGTGGGGCTGGCAGGCAGAGAGTAGATATAGAAGGAGAAAACTGGAGTGAGAAGAGCAAGCTAGGAGCCAGAGAGGAAGAAGGGCTCCAGGAACCAGCCACCCAGCTACGCAGCAAGCCACAGAGTAAGAGTAAGATTTACAGAAGTAAGAGAATGGTGAAAAGCCCAGAGATGAAAGATAGATGGGATAAGTTAAGTTAAGTAAAGCTGGCTAGAAACTAAGCCAAGCTAAGGCTGGGAATTCTTAATTAAGAATAAACCTCCAATCCGCAAAGATGATCCCACCTTGAACTGCTGGCAGTGGTCTAGAGGGTGCCTGGACTGGTCTACTCTGGTGACCAGTCTAGTGAATAACCTAACTGTCATCATAGAGCCTTTGTCCAGTGACTGACGGAGGCAGATACAGAGATCCATGACCAGGTACCAGGCTGAGCTCTGGGAATCCAATTGATGAGAGAGAGGAGGGATTCTGTAGGCAGGGGATGCTGAGATCATGATGGGAGGACATGTAGAGATGATGGACCATACTAGTGGAAGCCCATGAACTGTGGACTGGTGGCTGTGGAGCCCCCATGGGACTGGACTAGGCCCTCTGGATATGAAAGATGGTTGTTTGGCTCAAACTGTTTGGGGGGCACCCAGGCAGGGGGATCGGGATCTGTCCCTGGTGCATGGGCAGGTTTCTGGGAATCTGGTGCCTGTGGTGTGACACCTTCCACAGCCTTTGTGCAATGGGAAGGGGCTTGGACCCGCCTAGGCTCAGTGTGCCGGGCTCTGCTGACTCCCCATGGGAGACCTTTGATTTGGGGGATGTGGGGATGTGGGGTGGCTTGGGAGAGAGGGCTGTGGGTGGGAGGAGGGAAGAGGTGGGGTCTGTGGGTGGTATGTGGAGTGAATAGAAAATGTCTTAATAAAGAAAAATGAAAAAAAGAATAAGCCTCCATGTGTATTTATTTGGGAGCTGGGTGGTGGGCCCCCTAAAGAGCAAAAGAATAAAATAAACAACAGATATCCTTATCTACTTGAAGGTTTTCCTTATACCTTGGAGGTTGTGAGACACATAAAGAATCCAGAAGGCTCTTTATGAAGTTCTGAAATATTCTTGAAACATCTGCTCCATACTTACTCAGGAACAAGATAACAGAACAAAGTAAATGTAAAAGGTCAACAAGATTCAGTGGCTATAGGAGTTGGCAGATCAGATTACAAGCCTCTTCCTACTAGACACTCAAGTGATTATGTGGCATATACAGCAACAATGTTAGATTAGCTGAAGTTACCTCTGCCCTACATAGGGGCTTATCTTGATGGGCAAAGAATGATGTGGAAGGATAATAAAAGAATGAGGTTTGAAAAGTTAACTCATGCAGAGCCACTGTGGTGTCTTATGAACCAGGAGCAAAAGAATGCTAGGATAAGACCTATAAGTAAATTCTATAAAGATATAAAATATAAACATTGTATTATTCCAGAAATGGAATAATAACTGCAGCAGCTTTGGCCTGAGTTTTTTCTTGGGTGCTCTGACCATTAAGAGTTAATACACTACTCAGATAATGACAATCTCCCAGGGCTGGCTTGGAGATATTCTTTCTGTATAGTGTCCTTGAAGCCACAAAAGCTGGCAGCCTGAGAATGGGCTGTCATATGCCTCTAGATTCTTAAAAATTAGGTTATGGGTTTATGAGTGAAAATGATTGTAAAAAGTTACTCTGTTTATCAATGATGACTAAACTTAAGGGAAAATGTAAAAGATAACTCAGTCTGTCATAGTTTATCAATGATAACTAAACTTGTGACCCCAGATGTACAAATGAAATAAGTTAAATATATGTTCAAAACCAAAAATGACATGATTTATGTTTTGGAACAATATGAACTTATCCCTGTTCTCTGAGGTCTGTACAAATAAAGAAGCACTCGTCTGCTAATCAGTCAGACTGGGAGATACTTTGACAACCAATGGCCTGACTTAATCCTCCCTCACCAACTCCTTACCTCTCTCTGGGACCTGACCACCACAGGGGGTGGCCCCCAGCAGTTGTGTGAATAACCAACCACTGTCTGATTGTAATTAAGGGCCACTCTGTAAGATGGAACCCATACCCGATACTTCTAGGTTGGTCAAGAACCTGAGACTACATATTCCTAGGTCATAGGGGAAAACCAAATACTAAATTCTCCTAATGAAACATACCAATAAAATGACTCCTAACAACATTATGCTATACTTATAAATCAGTGCCTTGCTCAGCCATCATCAGAAAAGCTTTCTCCTGTAGCAGATGGGAATAAATACAGAGACCCACAACTGGACAATGTTGAGAGAACTTGAAAAAAAAAAGAAGGGAACTGGAGACTTTGGAACACTCCATCCTAAATGGGAGTTGCCCATCAAATTCTTCCCCTCAGGCCTCAGAGAACTCTGAAGAAGAGGAGGAGAAAAGATTGTAAGAGTCAGAGGGGATGGAGGACACTGAGGAAACAGGTCTTCTAGACACAATAGGACTGACACATATATGAACTCACAGAGACAGAGGTTGCATGCACAGGACCTACACAGGTCTTGGCCAGAGAGGGTCCCAGTGCTGATTGGGAACTGGACACATGAGCCCACTCCTAACCCATAAGCTACCTCCAACTGGTAACCACTAACAAAGGAAAATTTGTTTTCATGAATGGAGTCTCACAGGGTATACAATCACACTTAAGGGCAGGTCCCATGCCCAGTGGTAGATGGCCAAAAGAATACAAACTCAATGGTATTGTTGGAGGGCTTTTTTCTTTTTTCTGTTTTGCCTTACAACACTTCATCTGAGCATTATTTATTTACTTTTTCCCTTACAGATCTTTTATTTATATATTATGATTCCCAATTGTGTTTCAATGGGTTTCCTGTGTGTGCAAATGTGTGTGCATCAGCATCTGTGTTATTTCTTGTGTGTTTTCTTTTCTCTATTTTCTATTTTGTCCTATTCTGATTTGTTTGTTTTTATTTTATTTTTCTTATTTTCTTATTATTATTATTCTTATTATTTTAGATGCCTGTTTTATTCCAGTGAGAGAGAAAATAAAGGGTATGAGTGGGAAAGTGGGAGCATTGGGGAAGCGCTGAGGGAGTGGAAACCATAAGAATACACTGTGTGTGAAAAAAATCTATTTTCATTAGAAATAATAAAATTACGTGTGGGAAAATTAACTAACTAGTTAAAAATAAAGTCATGAAAAGTCTTGAGAGAAAGGGAAAACAATGAAAAAGAAACATTTCTAATAAAGAGGAATTTTAATGACATGGGATTTTCTTTAACTAAAAGAGACCATTTTGGAACAATTGCTAATAACTCAGTAAATTAGTAGTTTATAGCTATGCTCATTTCCCAGTGTTACTGTTTTCCAGAAGAGCAGCAGTACTTCTTGGAAGTGTGAACTGAAATACTTGGGGATTTTGGGACATCATGGCCACTAATGAGTCTCAATATCTATACTCCTGGAGGTTGAAACCTGGGATGGATCTTTTCTCAATCCTGGCAGGGGAGATTCTGAAAACTTAAGATTGAAATCTTAAGGTCTTATAATGATTAGTTTAATAAATAGCCAGGATAGAATTGACTATCAATGGGTATGCATGTATAAACAAACATGTCTAAGGTTAATTATTATCATTAATATCACTCAAGACATAACCTTGTAGGCACAAAAGCACTGCTGGACACCATCAGCTGATTACAGACACACGTGGAAAACACTCACGTGCACGTGAATTTCTTGAACAACACCCAGCTTACCTATATTCCATTCCTTATTTAACCACCCAGAACCATGTACCCCAAAAGGCCACATCCCTCAAGGGTTCCTTTAACTTATGCCCTTCAGTTTCATCACACACTCATGATCTTTGGAACCATAAAGCTGTAGATGTCTGAGAGGATCTCAGAGATTAGCAAGTCCTACCCACTTTTAGAACACGTGAATACAAAGTCTCTGGCACCAAGGAGGTCTTCTGTTTCTTCTAACCTTCCCACCTCGGGGACTGTTTAATCAAAACGCCATTACCAACTCCACCTGGCAGGAACCAACACATTTTCTGATTGTTCAGGGCACACCTTCTGCTTATGTACTCATAAGTAGCCAAGTATTAACGTGTAAATCCTCATCTTCTTGGTCTCTGGTAACACCCATTGCTTGGGAATCTTTGTTAACATTAAGCACCGCTCAATACAGGGTAAAAATGCTCACATGGCTTTAGGACAGCCCATCGCATCTGGGCCCAGCAGCTGGTTTACTTGTAACAGTAACTCAGCCCAACAGAAGAGCAACAGCAAAGGCAACTTTTCTGCCCTGACCACTGATACACATGCCCTGGCTATGAGCGCGGATGTCTTCCTAGGCATTGACACATATGGATAAATAAGCTACTCTCTCTGTCTTCACGTGCTGCTCAAAGTTCAAAAGCCTGTTACCTTTCATCAGAGATAATTTCCAAGGAATAAATTATTTTAGCCACTCATTTGTGATACAGGTTTTACAAGGGCAGTCTTCGATAAGGCAAAGTTAAGTAGGCTTAATGATACAAAGTACTTTCCTTCTTATTTGATCATTAAACTGAAAAGAAAAGTGTAAGTCAGCTGGTTCAGAGAAAGTTACTGTTCAGCAGGCAAGACAGAAGCCAAGAGGCACCTGTAGGAAGCAGTCAATATTCCTTGGGTGACTGAGATTGCTCTGGCCACACCTGTTTTTTAACACATGGAATGCTTTCAGAGAGTCAATCTACCCTCTTGTGGTTCTCATGATCTGAAAGTCTGCTGCTCTAGGCATGTGCATATCCTAAGCATTTTCCCACCCAGGAAGATATCTGAGAGAAATCCCAAGAAGTTTGAGGCATCTCGTTTTGACCCTTCTAGTGCTATTCACAGTCTATTCACACTAGTGTCTGATTTCAGCAGCTGGCCCCAACAGGCCAACTGTGGAATCTCCAATGCCAAGAGGCAGGGAACTCACTGAGATCCTCAAAGCCACGCAGATGAAGAGGGAGAGGACTGATAGGTAGATCTGAAGCCTCTTCCCACCAAACCGCTTCCTGAGGTATTCTGGCATGGTCATCACCTGCAGAGACAGACGTCAACAGGAATTCACCTCGAGCCTAGTGCATTCAGATGATTTTACATTTGCTCAATGACTTCAGGTAGCTAAGCAGTATGCAAGACATCTTGGGGATACAGATGCTAGAAAGACACAATTCCTCAGTAGAGTGTCAATTATGAAATAAACTCAAGCACCAGAGGCAGAATAACAATATCTTCCTGGCTCTGATGTTTACTACATATTATGACACTTTTGGCAAATTACAGTCTCTAAACTTCCTTTTTCTTAAAGTAGTTTAGTGCAAAAGTATAAAGTACCTACGGTATTACCAAATATCTGTATGACACTCAACAAATATTTTTATTATTATTACTAGTAATGCTGCAGTACAGCAAAAATAATACTTGTAAATAATAAATTATAATATAATCATAACAAATTGATTATTGAGTATATTGTAAGATACATTAGATTATGTATTTACATGATTTCCTTTACTGAAAATAAGATTTACAAGTATGAACTTAGAGAAAAATCTTAACTTTTATTACTGAAGTAAGAGATTGCTCACGGGACATCTAGAATAAGTAATGTAGCTTTCTGTGTTTTTCAGAGTGATTGGGCTCATTATTTAATCTCTTCAGATATAAAAATATGTTAATAAACACACACACACATCCTTTTGGTCAAAAACAAGAAGAAGGGTTCTTAGTAGACCACCTTAAATGCCCAAGTGAAACTTCATAAAATAGAAATCTATTCATGACCTTGAAAAGATCCTTGAAAGCCCTGCACCTCCCATTTCCAAGAGAATATGGAATACTTCCAAGTTTAATTAAATTTATTTATTTTTGTGTATACATGTATACAAACAAATACACACACACACACACACACACACACACACACACACACACACACACACACCAAGGTTTGCAAGCGGCGTTCAGAGGAACACTTGCAGGAACTGATTTTCTCTTTTCGACACATGGATCCTTGGGACTGAATTCAGGTAATCACACATGGCAGCAAGTGCCTTTACCTACTGAGACAGCTGCCTTATCCTAGGACACTCTTTTTTAAATGGTATCATAGTTTTAAAATTTTAGCCATTATACTAAGTAAATAATAACTTTATATCATTGTAATTTTTATTCTATGGTTATGAGAGCTTGCCTACATACATGTCTGTGTACTATATGTGTGCCGTGCCTGAGGAGGTCAGAAAACAGTGTTGGAGTCACTAAGATTGGAGTTACAGACAGATGTTACAGTGTTGGAGTCACTAGGATTGGAGTTACAGACAGTTGTAAACCACCCCATAGGTGCTGGGAACTGAATCTGGAGCCTCTGCCAGAGCAGTTATACTCTTAACCATTGAGCCATCTCTCCAGCCCCTATATCATTGTATTTTTAGCACACTTTAAGTATGTAAAACAATGGGTTTCACTGTGTTATTTTCACACGCGTGCAAGCAGACTTTGACTGTCTCTTCTCTATTACTTTCTCTTGCACAATCCCCTCTTCCACTGCTCACATCCCTCTCCCCAGGTAGGGAAACACATGGAACTTTCACAACTGTTCCCCACCCCCACTGTGCCTACTGACTCCTCTACCTCTCATCACTCTTCTCCACATAACTCTCTAATTAGCCTTAATTTTAACTGAGCTCCAAATACTCCAGGAAAGAAAGATTTTCAGCTTCCATATATTGATTCCATCATCCAATTTTTCTACCTGAAGAATTCAGTCTTATCCCCCAAGACCAGATTACCACTGAAGCACTTCTCCCAAGACATGCCTGTGAGTCCAGCTTTGCTCCCACCTTGGACTTACATCTACCACAGTGATCACTGGGCAGAGGAACCACTGACTTTTCACCTGGTGACCAACACATTGTGTATTGGGGGACCCTATGGCCAAACAATTTGATATTTTTTTCTGTATATTATCAGCAATGGGACCAATGAAGAACAAGTACCCGGGTTTCATGATTTAACATAAAGAACAAATGGGTAAATAAATAAATACATCAGATACTTACCCCTGCCTTGATGTAGATGGGGACAAAAAACCACCCCAGAACCAGCAACAAGAGAAACGACTGTAACAAACCAAGGGCAGCGTGAAGTTAGAGTTTGGCTTGTGACTTTGTAATGTCATGACCTCTGAAGCTCGAGACAAGCCAACCCCATCACTTTCCTTAGCTCCTGTCTAATGTAGTATTACACAATATAATATCTACTATTTGTCAAAACAAGCAAAAGATAAATTGTTTTGAATTCACCTGACTAAGATAAGATTATACAACCTTTGTCAAAATCAATGGTCTTAGATGGGAGAATTACCCATGAGTGTCAAGGCATTGAGAAAAAAACTGAGGAAAGAAAAGAACATCCTCAGGTCCCTTTAAGTCTTACCAAATATAGCTATCGATATAATCTAGTATTAAAGTGCAGATTTTATGACATCTCCATACATAACATAAAGAACCGCTGTTCTTGCCACAACTAGTGAAGCTGGTCTCATGAACAGAGTTATCAAGGTCTTATATAGGAAGGATGTGAGCTTTATTAAAATTAAAGAAATTCAAGTTCAAAACTATAAAAAATAGATGTCTACAACATGATAGTGATATACATTGGGTTATAGGTTGTTTTCTTCATGCCTATGGAGGAAGCTTCGTTGTACAGTTCATGGCACTATCCGATCAAATCCCAGGCCACAAGGCATATCAGGGCAAAGCCTGGGTAGGAGCCTGGTATTTCTGAAGTAAAAATAGGCAAAACCAAAACAAGATGACCTTCAGCATTGGAAAGGCAGAGGCATTTATGAGTGACGCAAGGTCACTTCCAGTGTCCATCAGGGCAGTTTGCTTAAAATTGCACTATAGTCCAACTTTGTCTATTCTACCAATATACACTTATACAAGAACATTGGAAAGGGTAAGATGGGGCCTGTGGGATAGCTTAGTTGGCCAAAGCACCAACGGCGTAAGCCTCACAACCAGAGTTTAATCTCCGGAGCCCATGTTGGGGAAAAAAGAACAGACTCCTGAAATGCGTGCTCTGACGTGTGCTGTGGAGAACAGTGAAAAGGCAGGCTCCTCATGAGCTGTGCATGATGCTCTCACCACTTGCCCGGCTGTGTGATAGAGTGATGTGGGTGGAGGGAAGCCATGTTCTCTGTTCTGAAGAACTTAGGGTCTAGTTAAGGGATGCAGCATCTGTAGAATGATAATAGGTTGGTCATGAAGTCCTGTAGGTTTGGTATGTCATCTTTCAAAGCTTTCATTCCTTACCTCTGTGCCACTTCCTGCCAAGACCTCACTTGGGTTTCTACTCATCCTTCTGGCACAAGCATCTGTAAACCCTCATGGTATGTGCCAACAACCCTTATTGTCTGCGATGGATATACCTCCTGTGTGATCTCTCTGGTAAAACGATTTTTAAGAATTGCCTATACAGCCCAGTCAATTCCTCTTCCCTCTCCATCTTTTCCTGTGCTCCTCACTCCCGCTCATTATCTAATTTATTATTGGGGTGTGTGTGTGTGTGTGTGTGTGTGTGTGTGTGTGTGTGTGTGTGTGTGATCTGCTCAGTCCATTTAGAATTGCTGGAATGTATATGTGTTTAATGCTGACCACTTGGGACTGTTCAACCTACCAGGAAAAAAGGCACAGGGAAACATTTACATGGTGTGACCTCTCAATGTGGCAAATGCTTCTGCCTCTGTGCCTTCCACACCGTAGTTAGAGCACGCTTGTCTGCTCCACTTGATCATAAACTGTGTCAAGAAGGGGGCATTGCTCTTCCTGTTATTTACTTATTTACTTATTTTGAGACAGGGTCTCATTATGTAGTCTGGCTGGCTTGGAACTCACTAGGTAGACCAGATTGTTCGCCAAATCACAGAAATATGCCTGCTGCTGCCCCTGTCCTGGCCCCTGGCCCTGTCCCTGCCATCCAGTGCTAGGATTACAGCCCAAATGCCTGAGCTACTTATTAACCTTTCAGTGGGTCTATGGTGTGCACACATAGGTGCAGAGGCCCAAGACTGATTTTGGGAATCCTGTTAAATTGCTCTTACACCTTATTCTTTGAGGCAAGGACTGTTAATCAAACCAAAAGCTCACAGATACAGCTCTTCTTACTAGCCATCTTGTCAAATCCCTTGTCTCCACCACTGAGGCTGGAATTACAGGTGGGCTGCCATGTCTCCTCAGTGTTCTAGTGGGTTCTAGGGATCTGAACTTCTGTCCCCTTGCTTGTGTGGCAAGTGTATTCACCTTGGAGCCTCTCCCCTGCATGTTTTCTTTGACTTACTCTTTACTTTTGCTTCAGGAATGAACAGAGTGTGACATCAGCAAAGAGACATAAGAGCTCTAATAGTCACAGGGACCAAGTGAGAGTGAGGCTTGAACTGAACAAAAAAAAAAATCCTTGGTAGGAATAACTACTTATGAAAAGAACGAAGCTACAGAAGTGCTCAAGGACAAACCAAGAGTGGTCTAGTTGAGGGGAAAATAAAAACTAGAACAAAGGGAGTACATTTGATACAGACTTCCAGAAAAACCGGAGATATATACCCAATTGAAAATACCCAGACATGGACTTGACTTAAAAGAATATATGTGTGTGTTCTTTATATATATATTTGCTATCACTTACATGTGATTCAAATGCTGTAACAGCAATTCCTGAAGCTGCACCTGTCCCAGCTAGGCCCACAAAGTGGCCACTGCCAATGTTGCTTGCAAACAGAGAGGCAGCCATCTACAAGACAAGCAATTAGACTAAAGTTAGATTCAAAAGACTGAATTCCTCTCCTTGGGAACAAGTGAGTGTTGAGATGTTTTGGTTGCTGCTTCTTGGAGCAAAAACAGCAAACAATTGTGCATGGACAAAAACTTTCTGTTACCAGTTATTCTCTGGCCTATGAGCCAAGAACACTTTCACACTGTGAATAGTTAAAAATGGTTTCTAAACATCTGAAGAGTGAACTGAAAATTTACAATTAGGTGAAATATAAAATTCAGTGCCCGTCATACTTGTGCTGGAACACAGCCATCACTCTCCTATGCCACAGCATACAGATTGCAGGTGCTTTGTGTTGCAGTGACATTGCCGTGTGGTCACAATAGACTCTGGCCTTTAAAGCGCAAGATACTTACAATTAGGCCTTTTACAGAAAACCCCAATGAACCCCGCCTTATGGAACCGTCAGTGTGTCCCTCTATGCATTCTGTTCGCAGCCTCAAACTTCCAGGTCTCCTCCCAGTGCTTGACTCTTACGTAGTAACAGACTCCAAAGTTGCACCATAGAGAATTCCCTGTTCTCCCAGCCATAGCACCGTGTTCCCATTAGTTACATTTTCCCCCACACTGATTCCTGTCAATAAAGCCAAAGATGAAAAGAGCTCTTCAATGGGCAGAGACGAGTGCTAGTCTTAAGAACAGAATTAGATATGAGATCCTGCAGGACTGTCATGGCCTTTGTTCTATATCCCTCTTTACAATCACTCCTTGCATGAAGGTGTTTGGGATCAGGGAGGGATGGAGCTGGATTGCGACTCTAGGATTAGTTGAGAATTGCATGTTTCACAAAAAGAGCAGCAGGAATGTGGTGGTATTGTGTTCCCCAAAATATTGTGTACCCTAATAAACCTATCTGGGATCAGAGAACAGAAAAACCACTAGATACTTAGGATAGGCAGTGGTAGCACATGCCTTTAATCCTAGCATGCCAGAGGCAGAAATCCATCTGTTCAAGGATACAGCCAAGCATGATGACTCACGCCTTAAATCCCAGAAAGTGAGCCTTTAATCCCAGGTAGAAAGCAGAAAGGTGTATAAGGCCCGAGGACCAGAAACTAGAAGCATTGGGCTGCTTAAGCTTTTAGGTTTTGAGCAGCACAGTTCAGCTGAGAGCCATTCGGATATGAGGACACAGAGGCTTCCAGTCTGAGGAAACAAGATCAGCTGAGAAGTTGGTCAGGTGAGGTTAGCTGTGGCTTGTTCTGTCTCTCTGATCTTTCAGTGTTCACCCAATACTTGGCTCCAGGTTTGTTTTATTAATAAAGACTCTTTAAGATTCATGAAACACAGGAAGGCTATGCCAGGTTGATTGTGTGCCCTGAGTAAATCTATTCCTACTATCACCACCAGATTGGTTAATTCCATTTCCTTTTATGGTATTTAGACAAGGCAGAAAATCTGTTGAAGGTAACATTTTCTGAGCACTCACTGTGTGTCCAACCCAATGCTGCCACTGTAGATTCACAGAGGAACATGTTGCCTCTACTACAAATGAAAAATCTGTCTGAGGGAGACGTATACCAAAACTCAGAAACAATATCTGGTAGGCAACTGTCCTAGAGAATCACTGTCAACATCACCACAGGGAACATGGCCTGCAATCAGTGTGTAGAAAAGAAGAACATGATGTTCTAGGCAGGACTGGAGTGATTAGTTAGCAAGCTGACACTGGAGAGAGAAGATAATTTCCCAGAGATGAGCATGGTTAGCTCAGGATTGGGAGCAGAAAAGGAATTCAGGGAGCTAATAGAAACTAAGAAGCTTTTTCATGAGAACCAAGGAGAGGCACATGAAACAGAACTGAGGTAGGTCTCCTGCAGCTAGACTAAAGCTGCTCTCAATTGTTATATGTTATAATCTTTCTGGGATCCCAGGTCACAGTCTTGAAGTGGAGGATTATTATAGGAAAAAAAGCAAGTTGGCAGGTACCCCTGCTGCCACCCTGAGTTTTCTATCAACGTGTATTTCCAGAAACTTCTGACTCACCGGCCACCAGGTCATAGCTCGACCTGCCAGGAAGAAGCCTCCAACAGTGCTTCTGTTTGTCTTCAACATTGCCTGAGCAGAAAGGAAATCACTGCAAAGTTAGAAACAATAGGTGCACCCCCAAGAGCAAAGAGACTCCCCAGCTGCTCCACACAGCATGCTGACATTGATATCACAGAGAGACATGCTTTTCTAGATAGAGTAACTCAGCATCGGTTTTTAATGGACATGAAAGTCATGATTTAGTAATGACTTGGAGAACTTCAAGAAACTGTATTTGAAAACCTGATATTTATTTTAGTTTATGAAAACAATGCTAGGCATTTCTAAAGCTGTCTTTGGAAGAAGATTTTGAGCTTCAAACTGGATACTTAAAAAGGAATGATCAGAATACAAATGATTCAATCTTCTTACTCAATAAGTGAGAAAGTGAATAAATAGCAAAGGGAAGTCATTAAAATGAGACAAGAGAAATGGCATTTGTGGTTTTGATGCCAGGTTCTGGGCATGCCAAGCAGAGCAAGCACCCGACCCTGGTTCTGTTCAAATAATGGACTTGCTGGGAGAATGAATTCATTCAGTGCTAACGTTATTCATGCCACACACAAGCAAATTATTCAGACAGAAAGACAATGATACTTGGGAAATCATTGCCTCAACTCATTATTCTATATGTCTGCCATGACGTGTTTCCCCTGCAATTTTTGTGCCCTCCCAGAAATCTCACTGGACTTCCACATACCCATACTCCAATAGCTATCACCACCACGAAATAGATGACAATGACAGAGATGTCAGCAGCATTATTGATGTTCTCTGACAGTGAAGACAGTTCTGAGCTGGAAGTGCTGGTACTGGAGCTTACTGTGCTGGCCATGGCTGTAGGCAATGCTGTCCCCATTGCAAGCATTGGCACTTCTTTATATAGAAGTATTATGTTAATGATCAGCCTCGGGTAGGTGGGAAAAGATATCAGAGCCAGCTTCTGTCCACAGGAGACCTTTAAACCTCTCCTGTATGTTCAGGCTCTCGCCTTACAGTGACTAGTTCTGGCTTCAGTGGAATTTGGAAATCAAGGTGAGAATCCAGAGATGAAAATGAGAAGTGGAGATTGAAAATGATGTGAGAAGTATTTAAGAAAGAAGAGGGTATTTAAGACAATTGACTAGTACAAGGGAACACAAAGGAGAGATTAAAGGAAGACAAGGGAATGGAGACATGAAAAGAACAGGAGAATGTTAGCTAGGATACATGGTATCCTTGCCAGACATGAAATTCCTAGCAAAAATTGTCCTTTGAAATGGAAATTACCCAGAACAGGTGGACTAGGTGGAGGTCACAGGCCACATCAAGACCCCAGCAGCCTGTGTAGAAAGGGAAAGTTACTCCACCCTTACCTATGCAGAGTGTGTGGACAAGGCTGGGAGGTGAGTGAGTCAGAGGTGTTGAAGTGTGAATGAACCTACAGCCATGTGCTGGTGATCCTCATGGCCCAGCATCCTGGATACTCTGAAGACACCTGCTTGGCATCAGAAGTACCGTCTCGGAGCATTCTTCTCCATGGTTGTACATTTAAAATGCATGACATAAAACTTACCTCTGTCCAAAGTAGAAGCTGGCAAAGGTTTCTCCCCTGTTCTATAGGCTGTCTCTTCAATTCACTTTCTTTTCTCATGCAGGTGTTCTTTAATTTCTTGAGTTTCCATTTGCCTGTTGCCACACTATTTGGCAACTTCAGAAAGTCTTTACCTGGGTGTTGTATGGGGTGTGGGTTCACATGGGTCCATGGAAGCAAGCACAAAGGAACTTTAAGGATGAAATTTTGCCTTTCCAGCTGCAGGGGGGATCAGTCTCTCTGGACTGACTCTGTCCCTTAGCAAAGGGCTTTTTTATTGTTATCCAATTTACACCACTAGCAAGTTAATTTCCATATCCCAAAACCTCTTATCTAAGCTCCCCAGAGGGACAATGACAAATGCAAATTCTCAGTTAAGGAATATCACAATTTTCTGGGTTATTCCCCAATCAAGTTTTACATAGGCTTTGCACCTTTAGAAAACTCTCAGACAAGATCCACATAGAAGGTACCGGACTCAAAAGGTATCAACCACAAAAAGACAGATTAAAGCTAGGTGCTAACACTCCAGAATCAAATTAGCTGCAGCTCTGCAGGATTTTCCCCAACATAACCCCTTTTTTTATATGCAACAATTAATTAATACAGATTATGTAGTTTTAAAGCATATACAGCTTTTTCTCTACCTTCTGTTTTACAATGTTATGTCAGTAAGCCAAAACACATTTTAAAGCCAATATGGTTGTTATTGCTAGCACAAGAATCACACTTGCTAAAACAAGAAATCTATTAAAATGATTTACAGGATTGAATGAGGCTATAGGATCTGCAAGGCCTTCGTAACATCCATTCCTGTCATATCAGGTAACTTTTTTTTGCAAGTTTCCTTAATTTCTTGCTGTAAATCTTAAATCATTTGAGAAGAATTAGGGTGGCCCATCAAATGCATCTTAATCCTTTCCCAGTCATACTTGCTTTCACTAAACTTTAAAGGTGTAATGCAATAAGATGTAACATTCCAATTACATTTTAATTTTATCTGCTCCTTCAATATTTCTAACTGATCTCCCAACAATATGACAGTTTGTCTCAAATCAGCTAATTCATTATTAACTACCTCATTATCTGTTTTATTTTGTTCAGTCCAAAGTTCTGTTGAATGTTTATGCCAGTCTCTAACAAACTCAGCAGTTGGAATTTCTTCATGAAGGGCCACCCTGGCTGTTCCAGCAGTATCAGTCAGTGCAATAATTCCCATAATAACTGCAATAATCAGTCCAACCCTTCAATGTGTTCTTCTTGATATTCTTTCAGCGAGCTTCTGTACCAGGATCATTGTAGGTGAGTCTTGCCATGGCCTTGACAAGTTCACCAGTATGCAGATTGCTGGCCTTGCTCTAAGAATGTATAAACTTTCAGAGGTTAAGTTTAAAGACATACGAGAATTAACAGAGGTATGAGGGGACAGCATTCACGAGTGATGCTGTAATCATTAGGGTGCCATTTTACAGGTCTCTTTAGTAGCAAGCAAATCATGGAACACATGCCATAAAAGGATGGCTTTGATTTGGTCTAAAAGACAAAGTATACTTATCATCCTTAATGTTTAACTTTCCTTCCCACACTTTAAGAGGGTGGAAAGCACTTGCTAATTTCCACAAGTTAGTCTGAATTGAATTGCCAAATTGCAGGAGAGAACTTGATATTCTAACTCCATGCCATTTGGATAGGTTCATTAACAGAATTAATTTCTACAGTTCCATTCAAACTATACCCCTGCCATCTTAACTCTAAATGAGAATATTTTTCTTGAGGGGAGCCATAAGGGCTCCAATCAATGATGTCTCCATGAGAGATCCTTTTTCTATTGGGAAGTTTTTCTTTTTAATTCTTTTTGAAAGGGTATACGGTGGTGGTGGTGGCGGCGGTGACTGGCGCTGGATACCGCGGGTATATGGTACTAATGGCTGGCACTGGATACCGTGGGGGCCGCAGCAACGCTGGATGCCGTGGCGAAAGCGTCACAAGTGGAAGAATCACGAGCCATGGTTACCAGAGTCAGAATGGGCTTTATTAGAGAGAAGTGGGGATAGGACAAGAGAAGTCAGGCCTGGCAGAGAGGACACAGAAAGAGAGGGGTGCAGAGAGACAGACAGAGACTGAGAGAGCGCGTGGGCGAGCACGTCTGGCTTTTAGGCTGGGACGCAGTCCCCTGCTGATGATGTAATAAGGCTCCAGATGAGACCCCTGAGCTGGGCGTATACAGAATCCTTACACTTTTTCCTTCTCTTTTTTCTTTTTTTATTCTTTGTCTCAGGAGCGCTCGTATTTTTAAACATGCAGTTAGTCTTTTAACCTTTCTCATTTCTGAATCAGTTTCATCTGATGAAGGAGGAGAGTTATCTCCAGTATCTTGGCTCTCCTCACTTTCGCTGCCCTCCAAAACAGCATTCCTATTGTCCTGGGAAGGAATATTCTCCTCTGCTGACTGACAGTTTCTAGCCTGAATGTTTTTCCTTTTACTTTCCTGTTCTACTTCAGATCCAGCTTTCAGTGATTCCTCGCTCTGCAACTGCTCTAGAGCATTTGAAATTAAATTACATAAAGACCAAATTTTCAATTGCATGGGCTCTCCTTTCTTATGAGCTCTCCTCATAGCTCTCAAAACTTGCTTTCATACCATCAGTTTTAACTGAACATGAGGAGTTGCCTGAAACCAATGACGATGCCATTTAATTAATACCAAAAGCGCAGTAAGCCATATTTCTTTTACTTTCACTCCATTTCCTTTGAACAGGCATTTTAATAACTGCACATACTGTTGCTCCTGAGATGGGAAATTTCCCATAACCCTGCCAATCCTGGAGTCCTCTTATCCTGAGAGCAAGTTTTCCTCCAGTCCTTAAAATGTCCAGATCCTCTGTCCTTCTTCAAGCCTGCCATTAGCGAGGCAAATGTTGTATGTTGGGTGTGGGTTCACATGGATCCTTGGAAAGAGGCACAAAGGAACTTTAAGGATAAAATTTGCCTTTCCAGCTGCAGGGGAGATCAGTCTCCCTGGACTGACTCTGTCCCTTAGCAAAGGGCTTTTTTATTGTTATCCAATTTACACCATTAGCAAGTTAATTTCCATATCCCAAAACCTCTTATCTAAGCTCCCCAGAGGGACAATGACAAATGCAAATTCTCAGTTAAGGAAAACCACAGTTTTCTGGGTCGCTCCCCATCTAAGTTTTACATAGGCTTTGCACCTTCAGAATAATCTCAGACAAGATTCACATAGAAGGTACCGGACACAAAAGGTATCAACCACAAAAAGCAGATTAAAGCCAGGTGCTAACGCTCCAGAATCAAACCAGCTGCAGCTCTGCAGGAATCCCCCCAACACCTGGACTTGTATCTTAAATTGTCTTTTTTCCATTTTCCTCCAGTAGTTTCAGACTTCCATGTCTTAGGTTAAGGTCTTTGATTCATTTGGAGTTGATTTTGTGCAGGGTAAAGGAGATATGGATCTAATTCCATTCTTCTAAATGTGGATATTCAGTTTCTTCAGCGTCATTTAAAAAAATTTAGTAACTTTTTTTCCATACAATATATTATGATCATATTCTTTCCCCTCCCCCAGCTCCTCACTGCTCATTCCAACTTCTCTACCCATCCAACTTCATGCTTTCTCCCTCTCTCTGTCTTTCCATCTCTCTAAATGAAGAAGAAGGAGGAGGAGGAGGGGGAAGAAGAAGAAGAAGAAGAAGAAGAAGAATCAGGAAAAATAAAAAAATCAGAACAGATATAAATAAATAAATAAATAAATAAATAAATAAATAAATAAATATATAAATAAATAATAAACCAGAGCCCATTGTCTCTTGACCAACTACTCGTGGGCATGAGCCTGCCCTGCAATGTGGTTGACATACTCAGTGACAGTCCATTGGAGAAACTCCTTTTCCTTCCCAGCAGGTATCAATTGCAAATAGCTTCACAGTTAGGAAGGGGACTTGTGTCTATTTCCCCTTTTCAGTGCTGGGATTTTGTCTGGACTGCTACGGCCATACCACCCTGAACATACCCAGTCTCATCTGATCTCAGAAGCTAAGCAGGGTCAGGACTGATTAGGACTTGGATGGGAGACCGCCTGGGAATACCAGATGCTGTGCGTAGCAGTCCAGTGACTGGGCAAATGAAAAAGGTTTGCAGTCATGGATCCAAGAAACCTTGGTACAGGGTCCCAGATGCAGAACGCTAGGAGAGCCTGTTTCATCACGGAACCAATGCTGGTTTTAGATGCGGCGCTTGTTACCTTGCAGGAAAAGCCACAAGGCACAACAAAACCC